CACACGTATGATGCTGAAGCACATACAAACACACACACTGTACAACCCCACCCAGACTCAGAAACATGCACTGTAGTTATTTAGGCACTCACACATGTAATGTACGTATAAGGAAAAGCAGATGATGATAGAAAACAGGGTAAAGTTTGGTTAGTCCATGAAGTTGCACAAAACATATGTTATGGAAATCATGTGCGTATGAATAAGTGTGTATCTGTGTGTCTGTGTCTGTGTCTGTGTGAGTGGGAGAAAATATCCGTACGTGTGAGACAGACATGAACTATGGAGGCGAGCAGAGCTGTTGCAGGAAGCCCTCATGACTCAGCCTTCTCTGGAACGACAGCGAAGTGAGAGAAGGGGGGAGGAGGAGAGGAAGGGGAGTGCAACAAAGTAAATACACCTTTAAAGAAATATTCTTACTGGAAACCACAACTACACAGACAAATCAGAGGTTCCTGAGTATTAACTTAGAAGAAGAGACCCTCTTTCACACACAGAGAACGTCCTGCCCATGTTATGAGAGGTCATACCGACATTGGAAAGCCAGAGGTTTGATTCCCATGATAATATGCTTAGGAAAATATTTCACCATGTGTTAACTGAGCAGGGAAAGAAAAAAAAACATCTGGGAGACTTCAACTTTTCCAACAAGTGATCAGCTGAGTAGTCTCACCACAGATGAAGCAGGTCGTCTTCAGCACCTCTTCTTTCTTCTGTTTTTCACTCCTCAGGTCAGCAAAGGTGTCGATGATGACACCAAAGATGAGGTTGAGGACAATGATGATGACCATGAAGAAGAACAGCAAGTCGTATATGACTCTGGCAGCAAACAGCGGTTCCTGTGAGAGAAACAGGAAACAGGGTTAAATGCAGAATAGGGTCGGCACCAAATTTTGTGTAGTTGAGCTACAGCTTGTTTAGAGGTTGAGACAAGAAGCGTAATAGATTTAATAATAATTATTAACTTTAATATGGCAACAATATATGAATACGATTTCATATTGTGGGCGACTGATGTTCTGTTTACATGTATGACCCAAAGGGCAGGTCTTTATGTGATAGGTCGAAAACCAGGTCAACCTTGGTCATCATGGATGTTAATGGAAACTCAAGACTGTAACCTGCCAGATGCTTCAGTAACAGAGACAGCACAGAGTCGGTCAACCCATGCAGCCTGTTTAGCACCTTTCGTACACAGATAAATTCAAGGTGCTAAACAGGGAAATTAAAAAAACACACTGAGACAGATGAAAAGGATATGAATAAGATTAAAAGAGGTAAAATAAAATAAAAAGGATAAATCTCCATCAAAACATTTAAAATAAGTTGAGAGGGAAAATTAACAAATCAATAGAAAGAACTGTGTAAAATAATCAAATAAAAGAATGAAAAAAAAGGATGGTATGAACTTATATTTAAACCAGCTTGAAAAAAAGTTTTCAATCCTGTTTTAAAAATTGGATGGAGCATCCCTATGATCATCAGGCAGTTGGTTCGAGCGCTGCGCTGCATAGTGACTAAAAGCTGCTTCTCCGTGTGTGGAGTATACCCTGGGCACCACTAGCAGACCACTCCCCGGTGATCTCAGAGGTCTCGCAGGCTTATATTGGACCAACATGTCAATTATGTATCTGGGAGCAGCTCCATTAAAAGATTCAGGAGATTGCTGTTCAAAAAAGATAATTTACAGCTCATGAGAAAAAGTATTTTAATGTATAAACCACTGGCTCTGCAGTGGACCTCAGTTCTTATTCTTTGGTTGATCTTTAATGAAGTTGTTAGTTAATCCTCTTCAAAAGAAATGGAGTGAGCCTGAAGGGAATTACCCTGCAGTGGTCAGCAGCTTCATGCAGTCACACACTCCCACACACCCCCACACACACACACACACACACACACACACACACACACACACACACACACACACACACACACACACTTGTTCAGCGAGATGTCTTGCCTAACGTGCACCATGTTGTAAACACGTGTGGGAGACATTAACATCCTCTTTTGACATCATAAGTGGTTGAGCCTGAATTCAGTGGAAATCTATTTTGAAGTTTGATTCTCAAACAAGGCGGGGTGACGGGGTGACGCATCTGTAAGCCAGTAAGTACTGTGCAACCTCCACGCTTGTGAGAGTTCAATGCACAACGGGCTCACAGCCAGCTCACATGACCCACGTCTGCAGCTGTGGGTGCCTCACCCTCTCAGCCCTCGCACACGTTCACAGGCCTGATCACAGCTGCTTGTACCTCTTTGGAAGGCTTGCGGAGAACATCCCCGACACCCCCTCCACTCCGCAGGCCGTGACTCAGCACAGTGACGATGCACATGAGTAAAGAGTCGCACGTCCGCTCCATATCGCTGTCCTCCTCACTGTCATTGCCAAAGTCTGTGGAAGCACAAAGGAAAGGAAAGCTGTCATCTGAGTTCATTTGGCACAGTTTATTCAACTCTAGCAGGTTCGTATTTGTCTACTGACGTTGAAAAATGCAAAAGTGCAGAATATTTACGTCACTGCAGCATCAGAAATTGTCATTTAGATTTAAATTCTTTATGAGCCTGGTGGGTACTCAAGAACATTAGCACTTATGCATTTTACTTTATGTAACATGAAAGCAACTGTGGCTGAATAGTATTAGATTCATGTATGAGCCAGACTACTAACAATATGCAGATACATTTTCACATACAATCTTTTTAGCATATCATATTTACACACACATACTTGATCAGTGCGAGAGAGGGGGCAGATAAAAATGGTGGCATGTCTTTGCATGAAGCTATGTTAGTGAATTTGCAAGACAGTGTGACATATACAAATAACTTTTTTGTCAGCCAAAGAGGTTAGGTTTTTGCTGGTGTTTGTCCACAGGATAACACAAACACCACGCAAAAGATTTCCACGAACCCAGGGGGAGGATGTGGTGCTTGTCAGATAAGAACCCTTATTTATCCTCTTTCTTTAACATTAGGTTGATGAAAGGGCATTTATTTACTTTTTCATTGATTTCTCATAAAACAATTCATGGATCTTGATTAAAAAAATCAGCCATATATAGGGAACGATATTTATGAGGATGCGTAATTTAGTGCAGATCCAAGTATAAAGTGGTTTCATAAGGGGACTGTTGGGCCTCGGCAGAGAGATGAACTTGTGTTACAATGAACTTTCATATGCCAAGATTAAACTGTGTTATTATAACAAAGAATACAAGTACTACCTTGCTTTTAAATATCTCCCTTGATAATAATAAATAACCACTACTAATCTGTATAAGAGCAGAACTTGTTGCTATCTGCTGCTTGGTCCTAAATATCCTTGGGTTTGTTGCAGAGCTTGATATCTGCTGAAACCGTGTTTACATGTTTTGGTTCGCAGTGTGAAATCGTTTAGTCAAAGCAAAAAGTGTTATTGTTTAGATGGAATGTGGCAGCAGCTTTGGTTACACTTAAAAATATCAACATTTCTGAATAGTTTATCCAGTTTGATAAAGTTAATAGGTCCTGACTGGCACAACAATTAAGTCTGTTCCCAGTCAAGCCATAGAAGCTCATGAGTCCCAAGCTGAATGTGTTTATAATTCTTTGTATTAATATAAATTTCACATCCTGGACTAAGTTTGGAGGATATCTCATAAATTGTCCTCCTGGGTCCCCACAGTATGTTACCACCAAGGTATGGTTGCTGGTACGTATGACTGAGGTCTTGTTGATTTTAACATCTCTACATCTTGGAACAAATGGAACAAAAATATTCCTGAGCCAAAAAGAACCTCACAACCCGAAGTTTAACTTTTTTTTCAGGGCGGGGGGTTGGGAGGTTCAGCTGTTTCTGTCACATGATGGAGCAATGAGGTCACATGTGAGTTATTCTGGTCAAAGGACCGTCGACTTGAGTCACATGAATGAAATGTGAAATGAATTAGAGTGAAACTGCGGAACACAAAGAAACAGTGCACTTTATTGACGAAAACATCAAACAGTTTCACTTATGTGGTTTGAAAAGGCCAAGGGTGATTTCCAAGTATTTGAAACAGCTTCTGCAAAAAATATTTGTAACTTGTCAAATTTCTCTTCATCACAGAACTAAGAAATCCTTCCTGTGTGAATGAATAGAAAATTATTATCGTTAACCACGGCCATTTCTGCTTAAAATGACTTCATAAACTAAACCACAATCTTTTCCTTTTGCAAATAAGCTCTTTTGTCTTTCTCTTCAATTAAAATGAGTTTTAAAGCTGTGTGTTGGTCCTGCCAATTTCCACAGTTTCAAACCACTCACTAAAATTAACCACATTACAAATTAAACTTATTCACACTTTTCCAAAGGTTTAGTTCGTGACAAGAAACTTGCATAACAGTGAACATTTAAGTATTTTTTATTGTTCTCCAGCTAAATCCAGGTAAAAACCAAGTGAAGTAAACATTACCTTCCTGCTGAGTCCCTGTGGTACAGTTCTCATCAATCCCTCCTCGACACATTTCCTCAGACAGAAACTCGCTGGCCAGACTGGTTCCACTTTCTAGAAAGTACAAACAGGTAGTTCATCCTCATGTTCATGCTCTTTTTCTAAATGAAGCCCCCCTGATGTGTAATTATGTGAGTGTCTCCTCACTCATGGTCGTGTTGGGAATCCGATCCACCTCCAGGATGAAGTCGTCTTTGAAAAAAATGTAGCCAACAATGGAGAACAGGTAGACAAGGATGAGCGCCAGCACGGCGGTGAGTACGATGGAGCGTCCGTTACGTGTCACACTCTTGATCACATTGAGCAAGGTCTCTTCTCTGTAGACCAAGTCAAACAGCTGCAGAAAAAATTGAGAAGACCAAAGATGTGGCACAAGATTCATTGTAAAGTGACATAATGCTTCTCAAAACACAAACTAAGAAACTGTAAATTCAGCTTACATACAGTTATCATGTGCATATAGTGATAAGTACATTTTTATTGTGAAGATACAAAAACTAATGGATGAAAAAGTAATTGCTTTAAACTTTTTCCTTTTTGAATCCTAAGTTTCCTTCAGTATTTTTTCAATGAAGTGAATAAATAAGGAAACAGGTCGAAAGGAAAACATCTTCAAATTCTGACATATTAAATGTGACATGTTGTAAAGTGGACCTGAGGCACCCGCACATAGCACTTCGCTTAACAACAACAACAGCAGCAGCAGCAGCAGCAGCACCACCAAAAAGGGCGATTTGTGACTTGCCACCAGGACACGTCCTTACATGCACCATGATGGAAAAGCTCGGGCTCCATTCAGAGAGAGCAAAAGTATTTTCCACATGTTCTCACTCAAAAAAAGCTGCAGCCACCATATTTCAGCCTACACCTATGTCTTTGTCCCTATACTAAGGAGGATGTGTGTGTAAAGTGTTTCACTCACCAACAGACTGTAGAAGAAGACGTGGACAAACACCCCCAGGGAGCAGATAATGAGGTACATGAGGTGGTAGAGGAACTCAAAGTCCAGCACCATGACTTTGTAGCCTCTCGTGAAGGTTCCTCGATTCCCCACAAAACTTATGAGGAAGATGATTTTATTACAAACCTGAAAGACAAAGCTGATCACTTTAATAATTCAAATTAATAACGCAATCATTTTAATACTGAAAGAAATCTACAAGTGCGCTTGCTGGGGGCTGTGTGGCAGAAACTACAGGAGTTTGGGGATTTTCCGACAGATGAGGACACATTAATTGTGTTCACATGTCATGTCATGTAAACGTGAAACCAGGGTGCAGGGATTAACAGAAACCCGGTTAACGCAGCTCGGTCATGTACACGCTGAACCAGGTCTCATGGGGTTTTAACTAAAACAATTGCTTCAGACTTCAGCCATTTCATTGGTTCAGCAGTGGATGAATGGAAAGGTCATCAGCTGTGCATAGTTTTATTCTGAAGTCTGAGTAAGAATGAAACTGATACAAAAAAACTGTCACTTTGAAGTAAAGCCCATTTACAAAGTTTATACAATAAACTGAAAAATGTCAAAAACACATTGAGCGAGACATTTGACCTCTGCTCAGCTGTGTGTAAACTAGATTTTGCAGTAACCCGGTTACTGCAGTCCATGGTAACACGTTCTCTGGTTTCGTGCCTTAACCTAATTTCTCTCAATAACCTGGTTTTTGTGTGTGTACATATGAACGCAGCACACTTAGGGGAGAGGAGAGATGACAGCGGTGCGTGCCACACTTTATTTTGCGTGTGTGCATAATGAGTCTAAAGAGCACATCTAGTTTCACTCTCTCAAGGGTCCAGTGACGCACTTCACACCCCATAACCCAGCCAGGCGCTGGCAGGCAGAGCTGTGAGGGGCAGCGGTCTGCCAAGTGGGCATGAGTGTGAGTGAGAGTGAAAAGAACTGGAACTAGTGTGGCAGACGTTTCTCACTATGTAAAAGTATGTATAGTAATGTGTGTGATTGACTGACTTGGTCAACCAAACAATGAAAAAAGTGAAGAGTGGGATGCGGCCATGCAGACAGTCGATTTGTCCATATTTGTTGCTTTTGTCTGAAATTTCTGCCTTTACTCAGATACAACTCAGGTAAATAAATGGGATTTGAGGTGCTCATGCACTGTCAGCAGTTGTCATAGGGACAATAACAAACTGTTTAAACAGTAACTGTGGCAATAGTGAGAATTGTGTCATATACTCACATTAGAGATTCTTGAACAAAGAAATATTTGCTTGAAAAACACAGACATTTTTTTTATTTTTTTTTATAATCAAAGTTATAATTGTTGCTGTTTTTTTCTGGACTTGATTAATTGACAAATTTTCTTCCTTCTATTGCATTGAAGTGGCCAAGGCCCTGTAGTTCCCTTCAATAAACAGGCACACACTCATCAAATATCAGTCCCCGAACATGCCTGATTTTTTTTCATCAAGATCCATAAATTATTCCCTTGGAAATGAGTGAAAAAGTGAAAAAAGCACTCTCACAATGAAAAAATAAGAAAATAAAAGAAAATACCAAAATCCAACCAATGATAAGGATCCAGATTTTGTGTAATCTTGGTGACAAACAAACCAACCAACCAACGACCAGGGGTGAAAACATAACGTCCTAGTTTGAGGTAACTAACACCTGATACCACCACTGGTGATTTGACCCTTTAAGGTAGACCACTCACATTAAAGGCCCCCAGAAGGAAGAGGGTGGGCTCCAGGCCGACAGAGAAGATGAGACGGAGGATGGTGACGATGACCAGGGCGCGGATGCCCAGTGGTTGTGGCATGATGATGACGATGACCAGTGTCGCCAAGACTCCCATCCACAGCAGCGCAGACAGGTGGGAGTCGAGCATACCTGCAGCAACAAACACACAAAAGGAGAGCAGCTGCATTAATGCACTGGTAAGCTTTAATAAATACCTGTAACATAATGAATTCAAATTAGATTCCAGCTCCACCAGGACAGAAAAAAGGATTCATGGTCATTGGTCCAAAGGCTCAGAGAGAGAAACTAAACTGAAAACTAAATATACTCAAGCTCAACCTGAGCAAACAAGCACAAAACTCGACTGAATTAGAATTTCAAGGCACATGTCCAGTGTGTCATAAAAACAGCTTTTCATCATTTGAAGAACATCGGCAAAGTGAGGCCATTTCTAAAGCAGGCTTTTATAACTAGACTACTGTCTAGTTATAAAAGCTTCTACTTCTACTACTTTTTGTTCTTTGGTCTGGTCGACCAAAGAACAAAAAATTATAATCCATCAGGTCCATAAAGGGGCCTGACACAGTAAGATGCACATTGAAGTTGGTCCTTATTTACTGTTAGCTCTATAACTTTGAGCAAAGCCACACATGAATCTGGCCCCACCCCTGGAGCCATCCCTGTATCACACCTATTGTAAAAATCCGCTTTTAGCCATTATGCTCGGATTTGCTGGAACAGTCTTCCAGAGGATCATTTTTAAACAAAAAAAACAGCTATTAAGTCTGAGTTTTATCTAGTGTCTTATCATGGTTTTATTATTTATGTTTGTTTTTCTTATCATTAATCTATACTATTCTATTTTCCAATTATATATGTCATTATCTTAACTTTCTTTTAGTGTGGTCTTCTCTCTTATTGATTTCTGGTTGGCACTGGTCTCTAAATATATTCTTAACACTGTGCATTTTGTAAAATCCCCTCTAACTGCACACGTTGAATTGCATTTGCTTTGTTTGACATCTGCTACATAATTAAAGTTTGATTGATGGCTACATGGACTATGGAGTCATATATGCCAAAAGGATGACAGTGTAATTTGCAGCTTAGACGAGGGACTTGTCTCGATCCACAGTTTTTTAACAGGCTTCCACTAACTTCTGCCTCTCAGGGAAGCCGTGGGCCTTCATTAGTGAGACTTTGAACTCAGAGAGATCCACTTACATAACACTAACTATTCGAACATACTTTCTGTACTCACTGAGCTTTAGTAGAAGTCTACCTGATGCTTGCCCTGATTCTGGGGTAAATCCAGGATCAGTGTCCTCATCAGGGGGTTTCAACGTGTCACTTGGGGTAAAACCCTTGACCGGGTATCACCAGTGTAAAAAACAAGGCACACACTACCTGCTGCCTGTCTAACACCCCCCCCCCCCCTTGTAAAGCACAGGCCTAGTTGGAGTGTTTGACGTCAATGAGGACTGGACACAGAGTGGTTTCACAACTGTGTTGCTGTTAGAGAGATCAAGAGAAAACAGATTAGGTGAAAAATAAAGAAAAAGGAAAATGGGGGCAGAATGTCAAGGATAAAAAAAAGGTTATGTTAAATGAAAAAGCAGAAGGGGAGCACTGTGGGTAAGCGAGCCCCCCTCCCCTCCTCCCTTTCCTCCCACCTCGCCTCCCTCCGTGTCCTTCCCTCCTTCCCTTCCTCCAGTTCTCTCTCCCTCCCAATCCCTGTGGAGATCACATGACAGGTGCCACTTACATAACAGCCGCCTCTAAAAATACCACAGCTGAAAGATTCATGAGGAGCGAGCGGGGAGCAGCAACACACACACACACAAGTAATAGAAAGAAGGCAGCGGCCCAAAGCCATAAAAGTTCCTGTTTAAGCAGGCCAAAGGTTTGCTAGAGTCTCACGTGATGAAGTCTGTCACACAAAACAACTTCCAGAGCAGAGTACATTTAGTTCTCACTAAGACTGTGAGCTCATTTCCATTTGTACAATTAACGCCCAAACAACAGAATGGAATTTTTGTTTTGTCACCAAGTTAAGACAATGATTAACTATTCAAAAACTGCTTAATTATTTCAAAGCACCATCTTTATCTTTCTGGGAAAACAAATTGTTTTTTTAATACTGCATTTGTTGTTCCTTCATTCATTGATGAATGAACTTGTTGTGATCAGTCATATCTTATTATTCCAACAGATGATTTGAGAAGATGTCTCACAACCTTAAAGAGATGAGCGTGGGCCAAATGTGTTTATTCGTTAATTTAAATTTGTTTGTTATAAATAACTGATAAAGGCAAAGAAACATGTTGAAATTTGATTATTCACTTATTATTTTGGTTGTTTTTGTTTAATTCTGTGAATAAATGTAAAGTCATTGTTACCACAACTAAAGAAGTAACAAGGACTTCACATTTTTAATCATCGCAGTTTGTCTGTTTGTTAGTTAACTGGACGACATCAAAACCACTTGACGGATTTCTTTAACAAAGCAAGACAGGGCGTTACCCTGAGCGTAGGTTTGTGCTCTTTGTGTTCCCTTCTAATTATTTAATTGTTCTTCGTTTTGATTACAGTACTAATTATCTGAGTCTGAGCAGCGAGGTAGACATTAGGACTGAAAACTGAAAGAATAAACCAAAGTAACCAACAGTAGGACATGATCACCTGATATGTCATGTATGTACACACGTGTGTGAGCCCGAGCAAGCTGTGTTTACGGGACGCATGAATTGCACAGGGCATTCTTGTGTTGTCTGTTGTCTCCATAGTATTGAAAGTCAAATATGAGTTCCAGCTCCAAGGCGTGGGTGGAAGTTAGTCTGTGTTTGTGTGTGTGAGGGTGTGTCTTAAACAAAAGCAGAAGGATTTTAAGGTCCTGCTCCTAATCCTAGTCAGGCGATAACAAGTCGGGAGATTAGAGCGATGTGGTAAAAGGAGATCAGTGTGTTAGCAGTGAGGAGAAGGATTGTATGTCAGCGCTTTAAAGTCAGGCAATCTCTCTGTGGGTGATTGCACCATATCATGGGTTGAAGTCCAGGTTAAGCCACGGTGCAACTTGCCTCACCTCAGGAAGCGAATGTCTAATTCGCCTTCTTGCTCCCACAGATTGGACATGAAGTGAAAAAAAAGGTTCTCGTCCTTTCTGTCTTTGCATTGTCAAGCACTTAACCTTTGTCTGACCCCGTTTCTAGGGTAGACAGGAACAATAGCGAACACAACATCAACATGTAATGAGGTAATTCATGGTAGAAGGAGCTGTAACAGGAACAGCCTCACCACACCTGTTACGACCATACAGTCTATGGTTACGACACAGCTTGTGAGAGGGAAAACAGTAGCGACAGAAACCAGTTGTTTTTGGTAAAAATGCCAAAAGTTATTTATTTAAAAGAAATTTGAATCAATTTTATGACAAAAAGAGGTGAGGCAAATCTGGAAACAGAGGGCAAGTGGGTGCTGCTTAAATACAAATAAAAAGAATATAACCAAATGTGTCACTAAAATACGAGCTGTAATTCTTACAAAACAAAACATTTAAACTAATCTAATAAAACCAAAACAGTCAGAAACAATAGCCCTAACTAATGTGCTAAACAAGAGAAGTCTGAGTGTATGTGTGTATGCCTCAAGCTCATATCTCCTTTACAACAAAATGTATAATATTATTCTCACATTACAATCAACAGGTGACTGGAAATGTAAAGTGAGACTCTATATTAATATTAGAAATAGGAGACAGCATTTGAAGAAGTAAGTGTTGGCCCACTTATTTGTTCAAATGCTGTCCTCACTCTCAGGTGTCGACTCATGTGTGACTGACCTGCGTGTACCCCCTCCAGGGGGTAGAAGAAGCAAACCAGCAGGTTCATGAGCACAGCCAGGTTGAAGGAGACGTTACTCCACACCGACATGTTTCTGGAGCACCAGTACAGCACCTGCTGGGCTGGAGGGAGACACATTGAGATGTTACACATCTTTACCTCTACCTGCCATGGAGGTTGTGTTCTCACCTGTATCTGTTGGTTGGATTGTCCATTTGTTTGAGGAAAATTAATGGAGGGATGAAGATGGGGCAGTAGCAAGTGAAGAACCCTTACAATTATGGTGCAGATGTGGTTAAAGGAACAGATCCAGGAATTGTTTTATAACTTTTTAAATTTCTAATAAACCTTTCTTAACAGTGGGAGACACTTTTCAACATTTGTGTCAATTTCTCTGGAAACATGAACACCAATATTCTGACTGTTGACCCTATTCTGGCTATTGAGTGCCATATGTTAACATGGGTTGCTAATAGAATATTCCATTCATTTTCCAGCTCAAGGTAGATTTTGACAGATAAAAAGTGTAAAGAGGTAAAAAGCTTGAGGCTTGCTTGCTTGACCAACAGTCTAAACAGCTAAAAGATATTAAATTAAAATCCCACAAAATAAAGAAAAGCAGAGATAATCTGATTTTTAATTGATTATTTTCTGTTCCTCTGCTGTAAGAGGAAATAAAAAAAAAACACTAGACAGACGCAGGGACTTTTCTCTGTCCATTCACTCCTCTGACTGAGAGAAGAAAAATGGCTTTGTGTGGGTACGCAGTCTTGTTTGTGTGTGAGCAAGTGTGTTCTCAGTCGTGATTCATATGGTTACTGTACAAATGCTTCACGGCCCAGAGAACATGGAAAGCCCCTGTCTGCTTTTAGACAGTGGAAACACACACACACACACACACACACACACACACACACACACACACAC